CCCATTGCTGCTGCCATCCTCTTGCGCGTGTGTCTCGTCGCCCCGTACTCCCTTGCCTACGCGGTCGTGGCCTGTTCCTGCCAGCGCATCGCCCGTCACGCCTAAGCCTACACGGCTTAGGCCTCCGATCGCGTACGTCCACTCGCGGCTGCCCGCGAGCCCTGCATCATTGCCGGCTTCTCCGCACACGTGCGCTGCCATCCTTCCTAGGCCTCCTAGGCCTAGGTCTTCATCCGCGTGTGCTCCCTTCGCGCACCCCGTGTTCCCAGTCACCTCGCCACCAAACGCCAACGCGTCCCAATCAACCTCCGTGCTTTGATCCTCTACTCCGCCTCCGCGTACACCCGACGTTTTGTGCCTCACCCTTTCGCGCGCATCATGGCCCGATGCGCGCCATATGCCCGATAGCCGATCCTCCTCGACCCCTTTGTTGCTCACCCCCGTTGGCTCGCCCGATGGCCATGGGTCCCATCCATCCAACCCAATACAATCACCCGCTCGCCAAATCCAACCATCCTCCATTCTACCCATACCTCCCCTTCGAGCCACCTTATTGCGAACTCGCCTTTTTCTAGCACAAGGCTTACACCAACACTTCTCTTCTTTAGCCTTCGCCTTGCCTTTTCTTCGAGTTCTTTTGGTCTTGCGTCTCCTAGGCTTAAGTTTAGCTTGTGGACCACATCCTTTTGGCCAATCCCGTACACATGATGGCTGGTAAATCGGGCTAGATGGCTCCTCCAACATATTTTCTAGCCAAATATCGAGACCATCGCCACCTTCACCCTCCGACTCGTCTGGGTTGATGACCACTTCCGTATCACTGCGCCCACGCGCGTGATGCGGAAGTGGCTAGACAGCTCAAGAACGCCGCCAGTCGGGCCTACAATGCACGCAAGAGGCAAGCGCGAGTAACGGCAGAAATGCGCGCACTTGAGCATAGTGCGCGCGGGGGTTACGAGAAGGACGTGGTCATGGGCCAGAACGATCGCACATGCACGGCGAGCAGGCAAGGGCTGGCCAGCGAGGGCGCGCGGTTGGCGCACGCGAGCGGAACACAGACGACTGGCAAGGACGCGCACATGATGGGCGCAGCGAAGCAGCACGCGGGCACGGGTGAACAGGATGCGCGGGACGCGGATGTCGG